GGAGAGAACAATTCCATCTTAATTCCATTATAGCTTAAAAGTTTGAGTTTAAACTTTCATAGTGCTGTTATATAAATAGGAAGAATCACATGTATTAAATATGATACATGAAACGGATATATACGTTCTCAAAGCCTGCTAACTCACTCTGTACTTTATCTGTAAAAAGAGGCTATTGAGCTATTGGAAGTCAAGCCCCAAGGAAGTCATGATAATCTCCCTTAATCTTTATGGGCTAATGGGGCCTTTGCCTAACACTGCCGCCAATCATCTTCCCATTTCACTTAAAGAGAGTCTGTAACCACCTTTATTGGGGTGATGACAGCCTAAAGACCACCTGTGCATGGGGCCATACAGACAGTCAGACTATAGCGCGGCCTGTCGCTGCACGCACAGGCCAAACAACAAACAGACGGCTTCTTATGACCCCTATGTGGCTGTTGGGACGCGTGATCTTATTGATGCGGCCACGGGGCAGGTCATTTTCTCTTGCTCTCTCTCCGCCCTACTCCTCCTCCCCCTCCCTTCTCACTGTCCCACTAAGAATGCCTGCACACTTTCTCTTACACATAGACAAACACCAGGGACGTTGAGGTATGTCGTTTATATGGAACTTTCTGACACTGATCCCAACCAGAACAATCCGTCTTTGTAGCCATCCATCAGCCGCCGGCAAGTCCGAACAGCACTGTAAACAGAGCCCTGCCACAATGGGGAATAAGAACGCTCTATTGGGAAACAGACGGATCATCCAGCCAGACCTTTAAATCTACGAATTAGACGGAATTAAACTTGGGTTGCCATTTCAGCAATAAACCACGTGATTACTCTGCACTTTCATCATCAAGGGTCATGAAGTCCACATTTGCACATTTTTTTCCAAGTTGCCGTGATCATCAAAGCTGTAATTGGCCAAAGAGTTACATATCGGGCCATAACTTTATTCAAAAATAACTTCTGGGGCAAAAAAATCACTCGGTATTGAAGAAAGTGTTAAGAATCTGAATCAAGTTTGAGCTGACTTCAATGTCAATCCAAAAAAACTTCAGCATTCCCATCTAAGTCTTTGCAAAAGCTGAGGTTCATAACAAAAATGGTTTGCCCATTTGCCCATAGAATGCCCATTTAACCAGTCGGATTGAACTGGATCAAACAGTTTGGTGGTATAACTAATCTATCACAGAAAAGTGAAAAAAAGAGGACCAGGAATCAGTAACTGCCAGGCTGACCGGTTTGTTCACAATATTGCTCATTTACAAGAGTCTTTCTGTTGGGTACCCCAGCTTTAACATGGTTTAAATGATTCATTAAAAAATACAGACCGGCAGGCGGCACCATCATCGATCATATATTTCTGCCAATTCTGTCAACCACTTGCTCAAACTTAAGGTAAGGCAGATTAGGTGACTTGCTGATAACATAAAGAGTTTGTGCCTGGGGGTGAAATTCCACAGTTACAGTGGTGAATGGACCCCCGTTTGCAAAATGAATCACGCCTGCGGGTCAAAATGTCTAGAATCCAATGATGCAATTTTGAAGAGGAAATTGTATTAGTCAGAGATAAGTGGGTTTGGCTAAATGAAGGGGCTTGATTCATGTCCAGCAAGTGATTCTCCAGAACGAGAGGAGCCAAGGTCAGGGCTGTCTGCTGATAGAGCTGGTGACATGGCACTGGCACATGACTGATAGTGAACAGCTAATCTAAAAGTCAAATGTATCATGTGTTCCAACTAGTGACTTACAAGGTACAATATACAACGGGTGTATTTGGACAAGCTTCAGTCAATGGACTAATTATATGTCATTTTGTCATCCCACATTTCTGGCTGATCTCAATCACTAATTACTTATTGAACTCAATTACTAATTACTACCGTCCCATTGTACTACAGCTTACTTCAAATGTGAATGTAAGAGTTGTGCAATTGGGAATCAAGAGAGTAATGTGAACACTGTGAAAAATGAATAATGGAATGAAAATGATGTGGTTCGGAGCACAGATTTTGGGTAAATAAATGTGTTTTTTTAATGAATGAATATTTATGCACAGAAAATTGAATATATTTGTCAGTTGTGCTTGCTTTTCAAAGAACGAATTTATATTTTATACTATATATTGAATAAACCACAATGTGAAACGATCTACATCCTAAAATTATTTCATATCTACCGAAAAACATCATCGATATTATCCAATGGGAAGCATTATGAACTTCATCAGTCCTTGCAACTTTTACAATCACAATTTGACTACTTCTAAGAACAGCGTTATAATAGTTTTTGGGTTGTTAGTAGCTGATTCATGCACAGGCATCTGGTAATTTTAGTAAGACTAAAAGCTTTCTATAGAGCTTTTCAAGCAACATCAAGATTGTGTTTCCTCAAAATTGAATAATATTTCCCGTCTCATAACACTAACACTAATTTGACTTGGTGTCCTGTGTGACAATCAGGAGGAAGGATACAGCAGCCGTGACACGCAACTCATGCAAAAAGATATGAAAGAGCGTGCCCAGAGAGCGCCTTTGTGGCGAGCTCAGACAAACCATTTCCTTTATGGTGCTGACAGATTCTGCATCCGCGTGCCACTTCCTAATCACAGAACAACAAATGCTGAGTATTATACGGTGTGAAGTGGTAGTAATAATAGCATACCTGCAGGGAGAGCCCATGAGGAGTATGTTCCATGTTTTGTCTACCAGGGCTCTTCCGTACACAAGCTCCAACTGCCAACCCGCAGAGGACCTGTCAGGCTGCTTGGACGGGTTTCACCTCTTTGTTTACTTATTAGAAAATAGACTCAAAATACGTAATAATCATGTGAGGTGGAAAGGATGAAAATATGACGGATATGTGCTTAAGGGGAAGCAAACTCAAAGGCAGTCAAATTACTTTTCAGCAGGTTGTAAAGATCGCGGCACTTTTAGCCTCGATGAGCCCATGTCATAATATTGATTTCCAGAAGGTTTCGCAAGTTTTCCACACCTGAATTTGAGGTTTGAACGCTCAGAAAAACCCTAACCCTAACCCTATACAACCAATCCCCGCCCATTTCTCTGTTCTTATTATTATTCAAAATGATTCAAAGCATTCAGATTCTGAGCCAAATATGTAAATATGTCATGTTTACAATTTCAACATTGAAGGAGAAATATTATGCAAACGGCCTTTTTGATCTTTTATTCATGTTACAGCATTTTTCCTTCATCAACAACAGACCTGGAGTTGTTTTTAGATGCAGAACTTCTGTCACAAACATGTAACTCTGCCACTTTCTGTCTATAAGCTCAATAATAGTACGATGCCATTGTACCACTGTGACTTCAAGCTCAGAGCAGCCTTTTAAAACAAACGTTTTAGCAAGTTTTGGTGATCTCTCGTTCTTTACAATCACATGGTTGTATCTGCAGCTGGTAATTTTCTAATTTTCTCTGTTTCGACATATATTATAGGACATGATTTCACATTCTAAAACATGAAATGACAAAGTAAAACGTATCTGTATTAAAATGTCCCAAAGTAATGCATAATACTAACTTATTTATTTCTTTAGTTAGCTCAATGAACCGGTTTAAATCGATATTACAAAGTAGTAAACATAATGTCAAATTTTAAACCCTGCTCAAAAAGGATTTTCCTATATCATAGTAGTTGATGCTATGACAAAAAGATACTATTCTCACTTTTCTGTTTGTTTCTTTGTTATGAAACGTGTTATAACGTTTCATAACAGCCATATTGAAACTTCAGTGTCTGTCAGAAACCATTCGGACAATACATTCCTCTCTTGGTGTGTTTAATCCCAATGTGAAGATTTTCTGCTTAATTTGAGAGGAATTATAGGCCCGCTGCAGCTGAGCACTGTAAATCACTGGAGTTTGACATTGTGTGTTGTGCTGCAGCGGCGCTCTCTTCGTCACAAGTCCAGGGGCATGTTTTTATTCCCATTCCCACGTTCCTCTCCCGGGAACTTTAGGGGTTACCATGGAAACTGATGAATTCCCGGGACAACTTTGCCGCTGCCAGCTGAGCTCCCCTTCCTCACCCCTCCTCGCTCGCTGCTGCCCCACGTGCATCAAGGGAACTTGGCTTGAGTTATTCAACTGCTTTGAACTCTTTCCCTTAGTTTGACTTCTGGGAAAACTTCAGCTTCTCCTCTAACTTTTAAAATCCCCATGTAACTGCATTTTTCCCTACCACAAGTTGTAGGCTGAGTGCACAAAAACACTGTGCACAAAAAGTGAAAAGAAAAATAGGGTTGTTTTATCTTCTTATCCACAGAAATTAGACTTGTGGCCTCAATGTCCTGCTTCAAGGTAATCCACGTGCCGGAATGTCACAACAAATCCACTAACACACTTTGCACCCACATGTAAGCAATAAAAGAGTAAACCAGATTAAAAGGTCACACAACATGACAACATGTTTTCTCAGGGATCGTTAAAAAGCACTCTGTAAACTGTTTAAATGTTGCTGTACAAAATGTACATCTGATGTAATACACTGTGCCTAAAGTTGGAGTACCATAACAACAATAACCCTGTTATAAAATATTAAATCTATCACTCATTTACACATGCGTGTATTTACTTCCTCTGTCACATCAGCTTTTTCAGAGAAAAAGAGCCGACCACCCTTACTCAGTCAATCAGGTCTCAGTATGTAAAAGATCTGTTTTCTAATAAGAAAAAACTGACTTGTTCACATCCTGTGACTTTAACAAGACTTTTTGAAGCTGGGACAAACAAAATTGATTTATGAAACAAACAAAAGTTAGGTACTCCAGCTTTAATGGGTGTTGTATGTTGTATAGCCTCGTCCTGGCTTTAGAAAAAGTTAGGACAATTTCAACAAAACAACTTGAGTCCTATTGTAATAACAATTTCATCTGTGAGTAATCGTAAGGTCGTAATCTTTACTACATGTGTTTCTTGCGCTTACAATGGAGTTAAACTATGGTTTCATGAACTCTGGTAAAGTTGGTTTGGAGTGCTGCTCACCAACGCAGAGGCAGATGACATCCAGGCCGACCAGCACTCTCCTCTTGGTGCACAGGGGCGTCTCCTCGGGCTGTGGGCTCAGATAGTGCGCCCCTGCCCCGTTCTCCTTGCTCTCCCCGGTGTCTCCGTGGTCCGACAGCCGCAGCTGGAGCTCTGCGTCCCGGGGCAGCGTGTCCTTGTGGCCCCCACTGGAGTTGAACTTCTGCATGTCCTTGTGTCACACGCTGTCAGCTGCAGAAAGAACGAGAGACGAGAGGCGCGGAATAGTGCTCAAAGTCCTGGGTTTTAGTCCTGCACATGCAGCAGCAGCAGACCCATGTCAACGCGTTTGACAGCGAGAACTAGATCAGAGGCGTTGTTGCTTTTCTCAAGTAAAAAAGTCAAAGAAAAAGTCCATGAAAAGTCCGTAAAACGATATGGGTGTTGATTCAAACTCCCCACTCTTAAACTTGTGCGATCTCAACTTTCCCTGCTCCTCAGAAGATATCCATCCCGTATAAAGCGCGCACAATGTCTGCCTGCACGTTCAGCTTTGCGCCTTCACAGTAAAGCCCGCACCGGGAGAAGTGCTCGTGTGTTGGCGCTAATCTGCGGGAGGCGCGTTTTTGTTTTTTGTTTTTTTGCACCGGTGTCTATGGTCCTGCCTGGTGTCTCTGGGAGGTTTCTACGCACAGCTGACGCAACCCAGAGAACCCGTGTGCAGCGAAGTCCGCAAAATCGAAGTTCATTGATTTGGCTCACAACATGTTCGATCCACCTGACCTGACTCTGTAACCACTGCCCCTCCAATGCACACACACACGCACGTACACGCACACATGTATACACACGCGCACAACTCAGTGAGTCCCCTGTTCCGTCAAGTCACGCCCACTATGTAAGTAAGTAAGTAATGTTTATTATTTATATAGCCCATTTTACAGACCAAGGTCACCCAAAGCGCTTTACAATGGACAAATATAACCGAAACTTTTTGTTGGAGTTATGGTTATGGAAATTAAAATTGGGGTATAAAACTTCATTCCCGTAAATAACACATGTAGTCGTGTAATTTCTAATTGTTTATGTTTTTATTATTATTATTATTATTATTATTATCATCATTACCATTATTATTTTATTATTATTATTATTATTATTATATATATATATATATATATATATATATATATATATATATATATATATATTTATTTATTAATTATTATTATTGTTATCCTTTTTCTTTCTTCATATTAAATTAGAAAACATTTTATAACAAGATTTTAAGAAAGAGCCCCATGATGATAGTCCTCTCTTTTTTACCTTTCAGTCTGAAAAAGCTGATCTAAGGATGTGGCAGAGACCAGAATACATGCATGAAGGAACTATGGATTACAATGCATCGTTTCCTTTTTTGTGGTTTGATAATCAGGTTCCCCAGCTCTAATTCAGGGTATTATAGGCTTTTCATTGCATTGTCTGACATGTTAGGCCTAAATTCAAAGTTTGATGATTCAAATATTTAGTTAATATTTCACAAAATGTCCCTTTTTTGGCTTATTTTATCTATTTTGTATTCATCGAACTGCTGCAGCATTTCATCTCAGTGCTGGCTATGTTGTGTTCAAACTTGCACTCACTGTATTTTCCTGCCATCTGGTGTAGACAAGTGGCAGACACAAAGATGGGAAACGATCGTTCGCCTCACCCATGAGAGTTGTCAAGCAGGGGACAATAGTTATTACTATCACTAAAGTATTGCACATTATTACTACGGTGAATGGCACATGTGGCCTCAGCATTGTTCATTGTACAGTCCAACAGATGCAGATTCAGAAACAAAAGTCTTGATCTGCTGTTTTTATTCGGGGAAAGTGTTTAATTTGCAAAACAGAAATGAGAAATGCTGTCTTATTTGTATTCATGATTATTTCAGATAAAATGTATAAGGTATTGTTTGGCCAACAGATCCATTCCTACAGGCCGAATAAAAAATAAAATATAAACTTCTGTGGTTTGCAACTTCTGTGATGTGATATAAGAACTGACCGCTAGATGACAGTAAATCCCCTTTTGTGACGGAAACCTGTCACAAAAATCGTTTAAAAATTATATATGTCGATAAGTAAACCTGAAGGAAAGCATGACTAAAATGTATTATAAAAAAAGAGAAAATAAAGACATATTCTTGCAGAATATAGAGGTAATGTTTTCAAATGAAATAGTTATATTGAAGTGAGCATAGAGGTTTCTCCATCTATATATGGAAGGGAATAAAGTGTTTCTCCCAGTGTTTAATGTTATAATAGATCCATGTGTTGAAGCCACAGGACTCTGATGAGACTGAAGACCTTATGTTGATGCCAAGTTTAGTGTATAATGCTTTCGTCCATTTCGTCAGATAGGTGACAGTCCCGGATTTATTCACAAAGATTGTTCACTTCATTCGATCTGACTTCCTTGGCTGTTTACATGCTCAAAGTCAATTAATCAGTAGTTGTAGTTGGATGATGAAAAGCCTTTCTTCCCCTTCCTGTAATGTTCCTTTTTTAAAATATAAAAAAGCAGACAGAAACCACACAACAAACAAAAAGACAGAAACCACACCTACATAAAAAAACTCATTGATCTCAATTTGCAAAACAATTTTCCGATCTTTTTGCATTGAGTTTTTATCTGCAGACCCACAGATCAATAAACAAGTTTCCCCACTGTATCTGTGTGCGATATCTGGTGTAAAAACAAATGTGATCTCATAAATCCTGCCACTGGAATAACCGCAGTGGAACTACAGACTCTAAGTAAAACCCTGAGAAATCCACAAGTCTGGGCATGTTGTGTGGTTTTGTCATAAAGCTCATAACAATATACTTTCTACTACACTGTGCTGCCGACACAGACCTGGACCAAAGCTGTCTGTGCCACAAAACTTTCCCTGGGCAATACACCAGTGATATTACATCAGTGTGATCAGCAGCTATGGAAATTTACCCGTTGTAAAGTTCATCTAAATGGCATTTGATAATCATCAATACTAGCCTTTGAATTAGCTTTTGTGGATTTATTCACTATGGTGTCACCAGTATTTTTTGTCAACAGTGGTCACACATAATTGCATAATGTTATGAGGGAAAAGTTGAATTTATCATTAACTAAATTGATAAATTTAATATTGGCCTTTTCAATGGCAATAATGTAGTACAACTTATAATAAGATATAAATTATAATAATCAAGTTAGCTATTATTATGATAGTTAAATTTGGGATTATTAGAGTCATAAAGCTAATTAGATGTTACCATTTTACAATTAGATCTCCTACATTAAGTACTTTTTTTCCATGGATAGTACATGGATATGATCTGTATTTTTCAATTCACCAAATGGATGTGTCATTTTCCCTAAGGTCTATGTTTTTCCTACTGTTTTGGGTTTTTTTATGCTGAAGAAGGCGGGTCCAAGGAAAGGGGATGTCCCGGTCCATTAATCCATTTGCTCACTAACAGGGAATATTGGTGAATCTATCTCTGACCAATAACAGCTGTAATGGTCTATTTATTGGTAAATCAACCAAGATGCTTGCTGTTGTGAGTTTGGCATGTACTCACCATTGGTTTATCTGGTTTATAAAACCTTTTTGGAATAAACAGGAATAGACAATTCTATTACATCTTGCTGACCTTCAATAGTTTCATTAAGTAACATCTTAAATATCGTGACAAAACAATGAAACTGGAGTGAAAGAGAAGTTAACCATGATTCAAGGCAGTTCTCCTATTTTCCTTTCCTGCTTCCTCTTATGTCATATTTGTTGTCAGAATAATGGGCCTGTCCCACTAAACTGCACAGGCGTTCTCACTGCACTTGTCTTGTCAAAGAATGGGGGAAGTACCGCCACATGCCTACATGTATATAAGAGATCCTTCGATGGAGGCAGTAATCAGAACTCTCAGACTGACTACTGCTTCACTGGAGGAAACATCTCTCATCTCTTTGACATCTGTTTTGTGATCATGTCTAAGTCCAACCACAAGACCCTGTTGCGGGTGCTGCTGTGGTGGGCCACCTTCCTGTCCCTGTGCCAGGCCGCGCTGCTGCTGCTCTTCTTCACCATGGGAGGCTACAGGCAGGTAAGGCACTAACCGTATTCTAACGCATTATTCTGTAAATAATCTAAAACAATATTGTAAAACACACATCAACTATTGAAGATGTGCAGCTAAATGTGTTACAGGTGACACCTGTATAGTACTGCTCTCTGTTGTGGTTAGAGTCACAGGATAACGAGAGTAACATCTGCAAATCACACAGATGTGTGCTCAATGACACTATCACAATTTGGGGGGATAGAACGTATCATCATCATAAACAATGTATGTATGTGTATGTGTATAAAAACACTACTTTGTACATAGTGTTTAGTCATATGACCTTAAACCTGAACAATATAATGTCCCACCAATCATTTGTAATTATTCAAATAATGATTCAGTCAAATAATGATTGTCCCACCAGTCATTATTTGTGAACACTGATGGTGTCTTGCCTAAGGACACAATAACAGGTACTAAAGCAACAGCTTCCCCACTGCGATCCCTGATACTGCTGTCACCCATCCAAGCATTAACCATGTCTACTCTCACTTAGCCCAAGCAATCTGAGAAGATCAAAGAAAAAATGACAACCATCATTCTCAGGTCATGAAAGGAAGCTGCAGGGTAGATGACCAAATTCAGGGGAAAGCCACCTGTTTCATTGTTATTGTTACACTTTCAAAACACATGATTTCATTTTCCTTTGTTTGTATTTTTCTGAACAGCCATCTTCAGAGCTCGGCATTCCCCATGTGAGAACCAAAATGTTTAACTATAAGGCCAGTGCAGCAGGTAGTACTAAATATTATTAAATGTGGTTCTTTTCATATATTGATGTGATTGACAATAGAATATTTATTGAAATGATTTTACCATGTTATTTTCTCTCCAGTTTACCCAAACCGCACCCTCACATGGTACGCTGTGTATTCTAAAGATCTCCCCATGGATGAGGGACATTTAGGGGACCTCAGCATCAAAGAGGACGGATACTTCTTTGTGTGCCTCAGAATAACCCTGATCAGCTCCAGCAGTGATGTAGATGAAGTGAGTCTTAAAGAGGTGAAAGACACTGGGGCTGAAACCCTACTGACGGGATGGATCGATAACCAGACCTTGAGCACCGGTCTGCTGTGTAAAACAGAGAGGCTGTCTATCGGGAGTGCACTGAGGGTCCAGATCAAAACCAAACACCCCGAGAACGTGAGGATCAATGACAGCCAGAGCCTTAGCTCCTTAGACCTCATCTACATACCCTACTGAGACAGTGGTAAGTCTAGTTAGGCCCAGGAGTCACATGCTGACCAAGGGCCTCTTATAGTCCATCACACCCCGGAGGCAAAGACCAAATGTCAATGCCATCGCCAATGTCATGGCAATGGTAGAAAGACCCCATTTTTGTTGATGGTAAAATCATAGACAAACGGCCACGGCTGTAGTACTTGAATAAAAATGTCTAACGCCTCATGGTATAGTAAATGTATTTGGATAAATATGTTCGATATATCTAAGTGTAGTTGCGTGGGGCAGTATGGAGAAGACAAGGGCCATCCATCGCCGCTTGAGACTATGTTAATTATTGTTGTTGCCTTGAGTGTAAGACTTCATGGTGCCATGTTTGAAGATTGTATTCTGAAAATGTCAGTATTCGATGAGCAACGTTGAATGTTTTAAAATCATACAATAGTTTTCACAATCTCAACATAACATCTTAACATGATTTTGTTCTGCACAGATCTATCTCAGGTCATGAAAAACATTGTATTTGGTGCTTTCATTACTCTGCATGTGTTGAATGTACACATATTAATTTATTTTTACCATATTTATTTTCATTTTGTGACTTTTTACCTTTTTTAATGTATTTGTATTTATTTATTGATCTTTTCAAGTTAAATGTCATGTTTGATGTCTTGTTCAAGACAACATTTATTTATTTAACAGTTTCATAAGAAACATTTAATTGTGTTTTGTAGAAACTGCAATAACTGTAAAAAATAAAAATTCAAAGTATGTCAAACGTGTATTAAATCCAGTCTTTTTGCACTATTTTCTATATTTTCTATTTAGAGAAACATAACTGTGCACATTATACAAACTCATTAATCTCAGAATTCTATACACAAATATGAATTAGATCAGTAAGACAATGTGTTTTACTTCTGTCAAACAATGTTTTATAAAATAATTCAATGTACTGTATGTGCATTTTACAGCAAGAAGTTGTTGTGTATAGAGCTGTATAAGAGAAGTAAAAGAGTGTCCAGATTAGAAAAAATGACAACAGTTACTGAAAAACATTTTGTTATTATCTGAGGAATAAATAAACTATATGTTTTACATGTGATTGTAATGTGATTAAAATCAAATTCAGTGTAATCAAAGCCGACATAATGTGAGATGTTACGACCAGTGAAAGCGAACACACATTCAGCGTTAAGTTTGTGTAAGCTCTCAGACGTACACGGATTAGTCAAAGCAAAGGATGGCATCTCACCCATCATCATCTGGTCTCATGTTGTTTGTTTGAGAATCCTTCCTTTGCTTTGACTCCTTCAGTGTTATGCCGGCTTGTTCACGAACGCACAGAGAGGCGTGAGAGTTCTTTTCACAAATCTTTCTTTTGTTTAATGCCTTCCTTCCTCCAACATTATGTCTTCTTGTGACATTGATTCTTCTTCAGTGGTTTTTTCTATAAAGTCCATTTCCAACACTTTAATTATCTCTGCTTGAGTAATCACTTCTTTAACTTTGTTTCTGCTTACAAAGTGAACTTCAGATTTGATCTTTTTGGAAAACTCAACAGCTGGAGATACTTGTTTGACAATGACACGATGGCTTACTCCGATCTCATCTCTATATTCATCTTCAGTGTGGCTGTAGCCGATGATGCTCCAGCCCAGAAGTGACTTTTGTGCAAATGGTTGCTCTCTTTCACCACTGATCACCTCTAGGGGCAGCAAAGCTTGGGGACATTTATGTAAGGGATAATGTATAGCATACAGGTCATTATCGGAAAATAAGTACCGACAGGGCGAAGCGGACCCCGACGCTGCTTCCGCCCTGAAGGTACTTATTTTCCGATAATGACCTGTATGCTATACATTATCCCGCTTATTATACTGCTTTGTACCAACTTAACACACAAAATAAACTTCAGATCACTTTTATGAATGCCAAAAGTTTATTTAATGACAACAAATAAAGTAGTCCCAAAAAGTTTTCCCGTTGCTCGGCAACCGCGGGCAGGCAGTGTGGCTATGCTAGCAACAGTTAGGCTGGCAACTTCCAAACTAGAACTCTCTGGAACTGCATGAAAACTGAACAAAGAATTCCGAACATCAGCGGTGAGTGACCCATACATAAACCTAACCTAAATCGATCCTCTGCAAATGTGTCCGAAAATGTGCCGGTATCTTAAAATGTGCCGGTATCTACTTCCGGGTTTTTCGGTATCGCCTTTTCTCGCATTACATCAGTGTTTTTGTCATGAAAACGTAAACGGCAAATTCTGAAAACTTCCGTGCACTTGTATTAAGACTGGATATGTATAATTCACTCTCCGATAAACATTTCATTGCGTTGATTGATTGGCATTTGCGTTTATTGAGCGGCCAGAACTACTTCCGGGTTTTTCACGATCGCTTTTTGACGCAGAGAAATAGTATTTTTGTCATGAAGACAAGACCAGAAAATTCTGAAAATTTCTGTGCACGTGTGTGAAGAATGTATATGTATAAGTATTCTCCGATTAACATTTAAGTGTGTTGATTGAGCGTGGCTAGCTCAGGAGTGCCGGAACTACTTGCGGAGTTATCCACGCATTTGAAATACAAGCAGAGAGTGCGTTGCCATGGGCAGCGGTCATTATTGTTTTGAGAGGTCCGTTATAGAAAATAATGACCGGTAGAACGTTTTGAAATTACATTCAAATCAATGGAGCGTTCTACTGCTGCTCTGAGGAGCCGTATAATAAATCCTATTAACAGTCCAACTTCACAATCGAGTTTTGGAGCCATTTCCTTAGACAAATGCTTTAGATGGGACCAGTTCTCTGCTGTCTTGTTTGTGGGTATATGAGATCTGTTAGCAGGAATATAATCTCTGGTATAAGTAGTTGGCAACTTGATTGTTGTGTCAGAGCTTATGCCTCTTACTTGTAGGTCATTTAACTTGTGGCTGGACACAACTTTAGTTTTGGACGTTATTGTAGAAATCTTGAGCTTGACTGGTTCAGAGGTGGTGTTGAGTGAGTCTGCTGTGTCTTTAAGGATGAAAGTAGTGTCACTTTGGGTATCGATCAAAGCATACACCAGCTTCTCATTCTCTGGGTTGTCTACAGTGGATATATATATGGACAAGGATAACTGAGGAGGTACAACCTTTTGCTTTTTGTTGCACAACTCTGTTTGATGTGACTTGTTTTGATTCTTGTTCTTGTGACTCAGACACCTTTTCTGATTCGTTCTTTGCCTTTGGAAGTTCTTGGTCCATTTTTGTTTTTGTTCTTTGTCTCTTTTCTCTCTGTCTTGATGTCTTGAGGCTTTTGACATTTATCACACACACTTCTGGAAATACAGTTCTTTGAGTTATGGCCGAACTTGAGGCAGCCAAAGCACAGCTTCTCAGACTGCACAAACTTAACTCTCTCTTCGATTGTTTTTTCCATAAACTTTCGACATTTATGGAGTGTGTGACCAGCCTTTTAACAAAAGAGACAAAACATACCAGTCTTTTCATTGGTATTTGTGCTCAGTGTTTTAGCATTCAGAGCAGGACTTCTTTTGGGGTTGTCTTTAAGGAAATGTTTATAATCTTGTTCAGCTGGCTTTATTGCTTGCAGTGAAGTGATTGGATTACAGGCAATGTGTGCTTCTTTATTTAGGAATTTGACAAAATAGCTGAAATCTGGAAACATTTTGTGATCATCTTGAAACTCTGTCACCATTCGGTTCCAGCGTGCACTTAGCCAGTCTGGTAACTTTGCTGCTATTCTCATGTTTTCAACACAATCATTGAGAACTTGTAAACCTTGAACGTAGGGCATTGCTGACTCTACACTACTTAAAAAGTCTGCAAAGTCGCGTAATTCTTTACTGTCTTTCATGTTGATTTTTGGCCACAACTGTATCTTGTCACGGTATGATTTGCCAATAACAAATGGATTTCCAAATCTATCTTCAAGTAGTTCCCATGCGGCATGATAAGCTGAGTCTGTACCAACCAGAAAGTGTCCTTCAACAACCCGTTTTGCAGAACCTCCAACAAACTTTCTCAAATAGAACAGCTTTTCATGTATTGGCAGGTTTTTACGGTCAACTAATGTCTGAAATGACAGCTTCCAATCGTTGTACTGCAGTGGATCACCTGTGAAGACTGGGATTCTGGGATTCTGTTAGCGGTGATGGCTTCAGCGAGTGTTTTTACCAGATCAATGGAGGCGACTTGTTCTGATGAGGGAGCTGCTTGAGTCACAGGAGCTCCGCTTGCAGAGGAGCTTGGTGGCTTGCGGTGATTGCTACCTTTGAGGGAGAGAATGGTTGAGAATGTACATTTGGAAATCTTGATGGTAATGGAGAATTGTCCCTCAAAATATGAAGCTTTTCTTCTTCACAGTTTATACTTTCAGCATAAACTTTTAATCTTGCTTGGGCTGCATTATGCTTTTGCATCTCCTTTAATATTTCCACTTCTTTTCTCTTTTCCTCCAACTTTGTTTTTATTGTTGTGCTCTCTGTTAGGAACTGTGCTCTTTTCTTTGCGTCCTCAACTTCAAGTTCTCTTATTTGCTCCTCACATTGATGTGTTTTCATTACTTTCATTACTTTTTCTGACGCAGCTACATCCGCCTCTGCTTGTTGACTTTGTTGTAATGTATGTAATGATGACAGCTTGGACACATTAGATGATGCTTTTGACTTGAAGGTTGACCCTGAGAAGACACTACTTGAGGTCTTTTCAAACACAGACCCAGAGTCTGGCCAGGGACATTCATCTGGATTAGTCTTTAGTTCAAGTAGGCATTGAGCTTTGGCTTTGGCAACTTCAGTCATGGAAAAAGACAAATCAGTTTTTCTTCTTATTTCAATATCAGGATTTTCAAGCTTTCTTATTTCGTCATAAGTTTTGCAAATGTCCGACTGCAATGTGTCTATCGCACTCACAGCTTCAATGATCAATTCCGTGTCTTTACCCTTCATAAATTTTCTGAAGCAGTTTATGTGATATTTCCACTTCTTATACAGACGTTCAAAGTCCCTGTT